AGTAGATTTGGTCGTAATTCACAAACTCCTATGCAAATGCCGTCTAAACTCAGACCATCTATGAGCCCAGAATCTTCGTTATGAACTTCCAATTTTTTGGTGGTTAAATATCTTCTTGAGGAACCCAAGAATCCAACAGTATGCAGCTGTGAGAAAATACGCCACAGGCCGCTTATGTCACAGTGACTCTAATCTGCTGTGGGCTCTTCTCAATGCCCCATTTGTCGACAACTATCTCAAAAATGAGATCCGTGGCTTAGATTCTAGGGTGCTAGCAAATTGTGTTGTAATTCTCTTCAAATTTTGTTTGCTTTATGTAATCTCTTAAAGCCTAATTCATAATTTGACAATTAGATTAGCAAAATATGTACCATCTTAAATCCTAGTGTCAAAGATGACGATTAGTTTATATTTCTTGGGGTCGTAGAATGTAATTTATACAATAACGATACATCAAAGTTGGACTATTTTGTGCTAGTGCAATGAAAGTACAGTTAATTGAAATTTTTATTGATCATGATTCATATTTTGTATTTCGTAGTTCATCATTTTTTATTCTAGGTTTATTATTTTTACCTTGAATGTGGTAGTTGGCAAAGGAATGTTGCATTTACATGTTTATTTCCTCTTATGTAAGCTCACATTAGAGCATCCGTATCTTACCACAAATTTTAACGGAATATGTAACATTTTATAGTACCATTTTCATCTGACCAAAAGCATGCTCTTATTTATTTAACCTTAATTTAACAGTTGTTACAAGCGTTGTTGCGACAAGTTTGCATGGTACTAATATTTTTTTGACAAAGTTCATGCAGAGAGTGTAACTCATATAGCTAATTTCATTGTATTCTCCTCCAATTTTATTTGAAGGCACTTACCGTGTGATCAAGCAGCATTATTGGTATATAGCTCTGAGACTTTCTCTCTATCTTACTCTCTCTCCTTCAACTGATATCTTGCTTTGTATTTGCTAGATACTAACATTTTTGTACACTCGTTTGTTTTTTACTAAGGCGGTTGAAATGTCACAGTTAGAGTACTTGCATAGCTGCAACAAGAGGAGGAAAAGGTCATCTGCTGATCAAAGGGTTTTCAGGTTCAAGTCTTTCTGTGAACCAGGCTATCCAACTCAGTTTGATGGCCCTTTCTGGAAGAATGTCAGAGCATTACTCGAATTTGGGCATATGGAGAGTATTCATAGTACCAATGGTATGATAAGCTGGTCATTTCAGCTGGAAGTTCATCGCCATAGACCTGATCACCGTGTCTTTCTGTTTGTTATAGAGGAGCCAATCGAAACTTCAAACTACCTCTACTGCAAACATTGTCGCTACATAGGTACTTATTTGAAACTTGTGGATTGTAGTCTAGCTTTTATGCTACACTGTTAGAAAGTTATCTTAATAGTACTCCCTCTGTCTATATACATAACTAATTTTGCATATTCTATAAAAAAATTAAACATTCTCTTTAAGTTTATCCTCTCTACTTCCTCTCTAACATTGGGCCATATTATTTTACAAAAAACTTGTCGAATATTATTAGTAATCCCATGTTTTGCATAGACATACCAGTTATTGTTTAAAGCAAAAACTTAGCCCCTGACTTTCCATGACACTAGCAGTGTTCGAATCCCCATAGGGTTAGCAGTATAAGTGGATAGGTATTCTGATACAGAGGTTTTCGGGTGATTAGCATGATATAAAGCCAAATATTTCATTTTCCTTATCATTAAAGAGGGACAACTTATCATCTCAGAAGTACAATGAGTGAAAGATCGAAAAACAAGTAATTGCTTAAAATTCTGAAGCCTTTCAGGAGTGCTATTTACTGCATTTGTTGATTGTAACAGGATGGGGACAGCATATGATCTGCAACATGAAGTATCATTTTGTAGTGCCCTCCAAGGAAACTGCAGCTATGGCATCAACATGTTTGAGCTGCCAAGGTAATTGCTGTGCTGATGGTACAATTTTAGCTGCAAGATGCGGTACCAAGTCCTGCAGCTTGGTGGAACTGGAGGGTCACACTCTGCATGGAGTGTTCCACTGCAATGGCTTTGGGCATTTGCTCTGTGTTAATGGCCTTGAAATGAATTCAGACTTAACTGGTCACCAGGTCATGGATTTTTGGGATCGCATCTGCACTGGCTTGCGTGCAAGGTAATCAGTCATCTTGTTCCCTACTTCAATTTTTGCCATGTTATTGTCAATAGCCCTACAGTAATGCTGAGCAAGAGGGAGTTTTTTTTTTTTAAAATATATTTTTTCGGTATGTATCTTAGCCTTATATGACCCTATAATGCCCCCCTGTGTATCCGACTCCAAATTTGTTTCCTTGCATTTTATGTTGCTAGGACTATGCTTACAGCAAGAGAAGAACTAAGAAGTAAATAGTAACTTTCAGAGAAAAAAGCTAGCTGAAAGAAGAGAGTTTTTTTTAGCTTGTTTCTTTATCAAATTTGTTTGGATTTCCTTAGTTGAAAAAATAGGTGATATTGTTCAGACATACTACAGTTAACTGATGAAATTAAGTTTTATTATGCAGGAAAGTGAGCTTGACCGATATATCTCAGAAGAAGGGCATGGACTTGAGACTACTTCATGGACTAGCATATGGAGGACCCTGGTTTTCGCGGTGGGATTACAAATTTGGACGTGGAAGCTTTGGAGTTACAGAATCCATGTACCAAAAATCAATCCAGGCCTTACAGAACATCCCCTTATGCCTTCTGTTCCACCACTTAAGCCCCTCAGACAATTACCTTCCAATCATATACTCACGGTACCAAGCCTTATCTGAGCATTCCTTAATAACCCTAAGTGACCTTTTCCACTTCATGCTGGAGCTCAGGTCCCGCCTCCCAAAAGAGACTGCCCCTCTGAGCTGTTCAATCCGGGTATCCTTCTAGAAACTTCCTGTAGGTGGTCTCCTAAGCGGGTTGAAATGGCTACTCGAGTCATAGTTGAGTCTTTAAAAAGGGCTGAGCCCAAATGGGTGTCAAGACAAGAGGTCAGGGATGCAGCAAGGGTATACATTGGTGATACAGGACTGTTAGATTTTGTTCTCAAGTCACTTGGTAATCATGTTGTGGGAAAATACCTTGTTCGTCGTAGCTTGAATCCTGTGACCAAAGTTCTTGAATATTGCTTGGAAGATATGTCCATTAGTCATGATCATAACTTGGTGTTGAGGGAGTCTAAGTCTAATATGATGGCGGTCACTAGGGCTCAACTCGCAAAGGACATAATGTACCTCTACAAATCCACACTAAAAGAAAGAAAGGCAACATCAGGTTCAGGAAGCACAATTTTAATAGCTAGCAGGGTAATCCTTGACAGTAAACACCTTGTCAAGGAATTTAATCATCAACAAAACCTTCCACCCCGAAACAAATTCAGCATTGGGGAGGAACTAGTTGATTTGTTCTGCTCTTTGCAGCTAAAAGACAAGCAAATTATGCAGCCTTATGAAAATGTTAAATTAAAAGGAAGCATAATAATTGAAGAGTTAAAAAGGGAGGTTGAAAAATGGTTTAAAGATGTATATTATGGAATGAAACAATCAATTGTCAATGTTAATGCAAATGACACAGATTTTGTTTGTGGGGTGATTGAAGAAGGAAAGGATATCATTTTTGAAGCAGGATTTATCGGTCAGGTTAATGGGAACGAGCATAGGAATGGATCACTAATACAAGGATGGAATGTATATGAACTCGGAAATTATTGCCATAATCAAGGCTATGGATGCATAGATTGTGCCTGTGGTGCTAAAGAGGATGACGGCGAAAGAATGGTTGCCTGTGACATATGTGAAGTGTGGCAGCATACTCGATGTGTTAGGATTCCAAACAATGAAGAGGTTCCAAGAATTTTTCTATGTGATCGTTGCGAGCAAGACATTATCTTGTCCCCTTCTTTGATTATGTAGTTTATTTAATAGATAATTTAGGTATCATGCATGATAGTATTAGTATGCACTACAAAATTCAGTTAATATAAGCTTAAGCATGCAAAAGAAGTCTCATATCTAGATGACATATATATAGAGGCATAATATAATGTATGTAGTGAAAGAATTCACACAAGAACAGTGAATATATAAATTTGTAGACTAAACATTAGTTAGATTTTTTGTGTTTTGGATTTATCCTTTTTATAATTCAAGTGTTTTTATCTTCCCTTCATTCGAAACTAATAGTAGTAGTTGTTTTTGTTTAATAACGAGTGATTTGACCATTTAATTAGCAGATTGGTGTAAATTTGACAAATTTGTGGTTATATCAATCCAATCTACTACTCAATTTGTTTTGTACGATCTAAAAAAAAACAATATGTTTTGCTCTGACCTATAGGTTAGTCACAAACTCCAATTAAATAGCTTAGCCTTGTTCTTTCCATATGATCAAGAGTAGTGATCTTTTTTTTTTTTTTTTTTAAAAAAAGAAAAGAGTAATGATCTTAATTAAGCATACTAATGAGCTACCATTATTAATTTTTTTGACAAACCCTAAGCCCTATAAAATTATTTGTTATGCTTCAATGAGAATTTCCAATAGTAAAAACCATTGTTTAATGCCGAGCCAAATTTGATTTAATTTGACTCTAAATTTACATGATCTATTATATTTGTGGTTATTCAATGAAAATCGAACCCTTAACCTCAAAATTATAAGTAAAAACTCAATTATTAATATAAGAAAAATGCTATACATAGCCCTTAGGGCTACATATAAGCATTACATTTACATTTGAAAATCGGAAAAAGTTAAGAAATCATCAAAATATAAACACTAATTATACTGATTTACGCGTGTTTTTGTCGTGAATTCCTAATTTTATACAATTTTCAATTATGTATTTAATGCTTATATATATAAATCTTAGGGTTACATATAGCATTACCCTTAATATAAATCCAATCAATATTTCTATATTTAAAATCGCAGCCCATTATATTTATATTTCGACACGAATACGAACTCGACCCGACCAGTTAATCCAACATGTTTGTAAATTGTGAATTCTAGGAGCCAAACACACGCAATTAGGGGAGCTTAAACCCTTCTTCCCCTTTTCTCCTCTTTCTTCTTCTGCCTAACTTTTTTCCAAATAATTTTGATTAAGCTGCCATTATCTTCCCTCGCAACTTTCTCTTCTGCTTACAATTTGTAATTGCTACTTGATCAAGCTTCTCTTGGTAATCCTCATTCCCTCTTTCTCTCTCCTAATTGCCTGCGAAATTTCTTAATTTTCTGTAAATCCGGTAATTTGATTATATTAATTAAAAAATCCCAATTTTGTGAAATTTTAATTCTTTTGTATATTATAAGAATTGGGATGTAGGAAATTATTGGGTTAATTTTGTTTAAATGTAATTTTTTGGATTTTTATATTTTATGTTCTCTAATTAACCGAAGGAAAAGATGAAATTGTACAATGTACATTGTTTATGGCTCTTAATTTAAAGTGAAAATATGTAGGAAAGCTTATTTAATTGATTTAATTTCATATGGGTATATACATAATTTGATGTTGTATCAATTTTGATTGTGACTTTATCCTTGATTAAATTTTGCTGATTTTTATAACTTGATTATGATATTTGCTGTGCAATCAAAGATTGTGATGATTATTAGCATCATATGAAATTTATGGAATTATGGTGATTATCATAACTTAACTAGGGGAGGCCCATGATTTAAGAGTTTGATGAAAAAGGTTGACTATATTAAGTTTTCTGTCAAGTGTAATTTGGGTACACCTTGATGGTGGTCCTTGAATGGCTTAAGTGTCCTTATCAGGGTCTCAACTTCTACTGGTTGGTAGGATGTACTGATATAGGAGTGCTATAACGCGTTGTTATGTTGTCTCGCTTTTCTTTAGTTTTACCTAAGCTTCTTCACTTCTTGCATAGTTGCACCCACCCTAATGGCCTAATGAAATTGAGACCATGGGAATATTATTCTTATTGGTGATATAAGGTGAAACTTATGGGTAGAATAAAGGATGTTGAGGACCTTTGTCCATTATAAATTAGAGCAAAGCAAGCTTTAGTTTATAAAGTTGGACAAAAAGGGTATGTGATCATATATATAGGTTACGGTTTAGCATGTTTTGCTGCTCTGTACTGATGACTGCTGTCTTCAGATTTTTGGCAAATATATCAATAAATTTGGGTTTGCTGTTGGGGAAATCCTGATTGTTATTCTAGCCGAAGTCTGAAGTGGTTTTTCAGTTTTTTTCATAGTAATAGGCTTCATCGATTTCTCATAGGAGTTTAAGTTTTAAGATACTTACATGCCAACTCTTTTATTTTTTTATGCTCTTCCCTGTGAAGAAGTTTTAAGCTAGCTTCTGTCTTGCACTTTTTCTGTAAATATCTCTCTTTTGCATCTCCCCTCACCTTAGAGTGAGTTGGGATTGGGGCAGGTGATTTATCATTCTCTTTGATTTAGAACATGCAGATTTAGTTGCTTAATAGCAGTCAACTTCAAGCTTATTTTCAAGTCTTGAAGTTTCTTCTGTGCTGCTTTTTATGTTTTCTTAGTGAATTTTGGGATTTTTGACCATAGGATGCAATCTATTTGCTCTAATATATGATAATTTAGACTTTCAATGATATAACTATGGACTTTATCCTTGTGCTGGGGTGTAGACAGTTGTTGACGTTCCTGAGGCTTTGAAGATGTCTCTTTATCCTAATGCACCATTAAACTCAGTGGATGAGGATGCATCTTCTGGCTCTGGAGAGGAGATGAATTTGGTTGATGGGCATAACAAACGTCATTCTGCTGTCCCATCAAGTTCAGGACGTCAAAAAAGAAGTCGCAAGGCAACGGGTGATGCCATAGTTGACGCTATGCTAGAAATAGCAGCTGCATCTAAAATGAGAGCTGCTGCAATGATGAAGAATGAAGATCGATTTTCAATTAGCAAATGCATCAAAGTCTTGGATGAAATGCAAGGTGTTGATCAGCGCCTCTATTTTCTTGCCTTAGACTTATTTGAAAACTCCAACGCACGAGAGACTTTTATAGCTCTTAAAAGTGAGAGAAGGTTGATTTGGTTACAGGGGAAGTGCAAAACCAATTCTGTGGTATAATCGTATAAGATCAATTACTTCTAATTTGGTTTATAAGCTACAACAGGATGTTCTATAATTCCTTTCAAGAAATTATGTTACAAGTTATTATTTTTTTCTTTACTAGGTGAGCTCTTTGTTAATAGTGAGTGGACTCTGTGGGGTAGCGAGTCCTAATTGAGGCCTTTTCTTTTTAGGTTTACTAAGAACTAACCTTTAGCTTCCAGATTAGCATTTAGTATTTACTATGGAGCACTCTATGTATATTCCTTCTTTGGTCCCTTATGAAATCTTTTTTAAAGATAGGAAAGTTTATACATGAATTATTGATATTATAGATTTGCTACTTGTAGTAAGTACCATTTTCCTTTTGTTATGAAGTATCTATTGTGCTATGCAATTTCTTCAGATACCTCAGCTGGCATGGAGGATTTTGATATAGAATTGGATGAGATGGAACTAGTTGCTGCTGCAGTTGGATACTATTATCATAATAGTATAAATAAACATCCTCGCCATAGTCTGTCACCTAATCAACCTAATTACATGACTGGACTAATGGAAGGGCCAGAGGATGCATGTCGTGAAATGCTTAGGATGGATAAACATGTCTTCCATAAATTATGTGGCATTTTTCGACAAAGAGGCATGCTTCGTGATACTGCTGGAGTTTCAATTGAAGAGCAACTAGCAATTTTTTTGAATATTATCGGGCATAATGAGCGTAATAGAGTCATACAGGACAGGTTTCAACATTCTGGAGAGACCATAAGTCGGCATTTCAATAGTGTGTTGAAGGCTATCAAGTCATTGTCTCGTGAGTTCCTACAAGCTCCACCTATAAACACACCCCTACAGATCCTTGGTAGCAGAAGACTCTTCCCTTATTTCAAAGTACGCTTTTGAAACACTCGTGTCAATTTGTATGGAAATTATGGCTATTATTTTGCACATTAACCCCCTTTCTTTGTACCTCAGGATTGTATTGGGGTAATAGACGGCATGCATGTTCCTGCACATGTACCTGCAAAAGATCAGACTCGATTCCGTAACAAGAGAGGTTTTCTATCACAGAATGTTTTGGTAGCTTGTACTTTTGATATGCAGTTTATATTTGTATATCCTGGATGGGAAGGTTCAGTTTCTGATTCTCGTGTACTGCAAGCTGTTCTTGATGACCCAGATCAGAATTTCCCTCGCATTCCTGAAGGTGATGTTCTTGTTTATTTGATTGTAAAAGTGTAATTACTATGTCCAAGTTCATGGTTAACCCTTACCAAAAAAGTATGCCTTATTCTACTTTACACATGTCTTTTTCTATCTGCATACTCTCTAAGTTGGGATACATCCACATGCCCCTGTCTTCTTTCTACATTTGCACCTTCATCTTCATGCCCTAACTTAAATCAAACCTTGACCTGGTACAGAGTCTGTGGGTGTTTACCTTATTTCTCGCAGGTTGTTTACCTGAAGATTATGTGCTGCAGGTAAATACTACCTTGTAGATACAAGTTACTTAAATATGGAAGGATTTGTCGCCCCATTTCAAGGAGTTCGATACTGCAATCATGAGTTCAAAGGTGCTAACTGTCTACCAAGAAATGTGCAAGAGCTCTTTAATCATCGGCATTCAACCCTAAGACAAGCCATCTTGAGGTCTTTCCATGTTTTGAAAGAGCGATTTCCTATTCTGAAACTTGCTCCTCAGTACGCATTTCAGATTCAAAGAGACATTGTAATCGCTGCTTGTGTTATCCATAATTTTATCCGGCAAGAAGATTGCAATGATCGGTTATTTTCCAGCGTTGAAGAACAAATGGTGGAAGAAGTTCCAGACTTTGATGATCTGCTTGATATGCCATCAGGACCTCCCTTAAAGGAGGAAATGGGAATGTTGCTACGAGAATCGATTGCAACTTCTATGTGGAATGATTTCTTGAATGAATGGAATGAATGGTGAACTGTTGCATGCCTTGCATCCATACTGACGAAACTTACTGCTGTTAATCATCCTTGTGTACAGAATTTATTTCTGTAGTATTTGGCAAAATCTATACACTCAAATATACTAGTAGGTTTATTCCAATAGAAGGCCAGCTCTTGCAGTTTCTTGTGACATCAGGATCTTGATTGAGCATTTTGCTTCCTTAAGTTGCTGGCCTGTTTGATAGAACTATAGATATAATTTTAAGGAAAAACATAGCTTAGCCTTAGATTTTACAACTTAGGCTTTTATTATAGGAAAAATTAGAAAAAATAATCCCAACTTTGTCTAATTTATGTAGAATAATCCCAACTTTCGTTAATACTGGAATAATCCGAACTTTGGGGGGTCTTCTTTTTCTTCAATCCCAAACCGGTCAACAAAAGTCAATGACCTATTATAGCAGGTCACTTGACAAGTGTCAAATCCTGATTGGTCCAAATATTAAAAAAAAAAATTAAAAAAAAAAAGAAAACCACCCAGCTCCCCCTTCCCCAACCGATCCACCCTAACCTCCACCACCACAGCCCGCCCCGCACCCCACCTTACACCCTAACCTCCACCATCACAGCGCAGCCCGCCGCGTCTCCCCCACTCCTTGAGTCACCGTTTTCCCCTCTCCCCAAAACCCAACGCAACCACTGAGACCCCCAACCACCGTAACCCCACAATCGCAGCCACGGAGGCGCAACCACGAAATCGCAGCCACGGAACCGCAGCCACGAAGCCGTAGCCACGAAACCGGAGCCAATGAAATCGCAGCCAATTTTCGAGTGGGGCTGGTGGCTTTGGAGGGATTTTCGAGATTGGGGCTGGTGGTTTTGGGGTTTTCGAGAGTAGGGGCGTGAGACTTTCGGGGACGGGGACTGCAGTGGTGGAGGAAAGGTGTCGTAGTGTTGGTGGTTTTTGGGTTTGGTTGGTGGCGTGGGAGTTTCGGGGACGGGGACTCCAGTGGTGGGGGAATTTCGGTCGTCCGGCGAGGGAGGTGGTTGGGGTAGTCGGAATCGGATTGGCTGGGTGGTTGGGGTTTGGCTGGTGGGGTTTTTATTTTTTAATTTTTGTTTTTTTAATTTGTTTTTTTAATTTATTTTTAACCAATTAAATTGTGACACGTGTCACTTTAACCAAAAAAAAAAACCATTCAACCGGTAACCGGCATTTGGGATTGAAGAAAAAGAAGACCCCTCAAAGTTCGGATTATTCCAGTATTAACGAAAGTTGGGATTATTCTACATAAATTAGACAAAGTTGGGATTATTTTTTCTAATTTTTCCTTTATTATATACTTCCTTCGTTCTATTAATATTGCAACAAAGATGAAATTACGCATCCCAAAGCACATTTTATATGCTAAATATGTATGGTTGTGTAAGAGTAAAAATTATAAAAAGTTGATATTGTGAAAGTATTTTATGAGACGAATCCAACATGATCCTACATGACTAGATTTTGCTTAACGTATAAATCATATTATATGGTCAAACAAGAGTGATGAATAGTGCAAAAAGTCCATTATTGCAATATTAATAGAACGGAGAAAGTACTTTGTATGGCTCTGCATGTAAGGGTGTAAAATATCTCTGAATGATTGGTTTCATAGGGAATTATAAAGGCATTTGATGCAGACGATGAAGTATTTGATTTTAAATTAGAAACGAAATCTTGGGCACTATCTCTGGTTAACTAGGTCCTTTTGTGGTCAAAATTCTGCAACATTTTTATCAAGTTTCACTGCTACAAAACACAATCTCTAGTAAACTAGATCCTGTTATTCCTAACCATAATGTCTTTACCATTTCACTTTAATACTTTGAATTTGATTGACTTCAGACTTCTTGAATAATACTAATTTTTTAACTACCGTACTTTAACTCTCATTTAACCAATTAAAATTATACATTATGAAGTACAGTACTTAATTTTTAAGGTGAAAAGAACCTGACCATAACAAGGAGAAATGTTTTCCAATGCAATTTATTAATATAATGGTAAGGTGCCAAGGTCTGAAAATACACCAAATGATGCCTTAATAATTAACAAGAAACTCGAAATTCAGAGTTCCCCATTACATAAACTTTAACCTATATTACAAGTTACAACCCCTATCGCCTATCCTATCCATGTTGGCTATATCAATTCAAGATCGACTTACAACAGGTAATATGATTAACATAGACAAAGGCTTAGGCTTAATTTGGAGATAAAAAATGCACCCTTGCAAGCGGGTATTCTTTTCCGGAGACCCAAACACCGGTTTGAGACCACTGCACATCTTCCCAATCGAGATTCTCCTCCAAAACCTGTCAAAGCAAAAATGAAGCAAATGAGGCTATGATCCTTTCACCTTATATTCACTTCGTAGTCAATCTAAATAAGTTCGACTTTAAAAATGTTCAGGTAAGTTCATCATACAATTCTGTAAATTCAGTTCAGTTAAAGTAAGAGTTGCCCAAGTTTAATTCACAACAAAAATAAGTTACATACATGGAGTAAAAGACACCATTTGAGGACAAGAAAAAGATTTCATCATGCAATTGAAATAAGCATCGTTTTTTTTGCAATACCTCCACATGTTCAAGAGGCAGAGGGATCCCAATTGATCGCATAAACTTCTGCGGAAGAGGCTTCTTACACTTAGACCACCGGAACATGTCTACTACCATGTTATCACCTTCTGCACTACTTCTTTCGCCATTTGCAGTATGAACATGGTTCTGGGACTTATCTGACTCCGCCTCATGTGCTTGTGAGACAGATGGGACTTTAACAATCTTCTCGCCGGTGAAGCACAGCTCATACCTACATATGACGAACAATGTGTCATAAAAATGCAAAAATTGTTGGTAACAGGCGTAATAAGGAGAGGGGCCATTCTTTCACCCACTGCATGTCAGAAATAGTTAGCCAAATGAAACAAGCTGGCAAACAAAGAAGTACAAGTATTTGGGGACTATGCCAATTATGAGTACAACATTGCTGTTAAAAATCATCCAAAAACTGCAATAGGAAATAAGAATGCTCATTGAAGAACTAGCATTGACAACATATTACCTGCAAAAATGAGTTTCTAAATAGAGAACTTCTCCCTTCTTCAGACGAGCTGATGTGTACAAGGGCTTCTTCAATCCCTTATCAGCTACAATACTAATACTATATTTTATCCTGAAAATAGAAAAGAAAAGAAAAAGACAAAAAAAAAAAAAAAAAAAAAAAAGACATCACATAATATGAACAATTTTTAAACATTCCAAAACCAGAGTATTTACTGTGTGAGAGGGATATGAAAGCAGATAAGCTCCACTTTTAGATTAACATACTATGAGGCTAGTAGCCTAATACCACAACCAGTAACAATGCAATAATGAGTTGCATTTAAAAAAACAAGTAATCATGAAAACAATCAATTTAGAGACAGTATAAAATAAGAGTATATCTATATTCCTGAAATACCATAGAGATTAACAGTAATCAAGTCTATTATGAAGGTATTTCAGTTAATACTGCTTTGTTTCTAAAAAACCTCATTTGTTTATTTGCAAATTTGTTACGTATGACTTACAGAAAGTTTTATTATCACTTCATCTAATTAGGGTAAAAGGATGTGCATCAAAACCTTCCTAAAAGGAGTTTATATTTATATATTTTATACACAAGGATAACTTTCCCCCCTTAAAATTCACTTGATTACTTGAATTCCCAACTAAAGGAGCATGCAATGGCAGACAATTGAAACTTAAAATTACCAAGGAACAAAATGAATTTTGTCAAAAGTGCCTGGTAAAACATATCAAGCATCATAAGTACTCTCTACATCCTATATAAATACAAGTAGGCTTGATTGCTGAAAACACACAAATTAAGATAGAAACTGTATGTCAAATGGTGTGCTGGAAATTTAATGCTATAAAAATGACAGTAAATTTAACTATACAAATCTCAAACTGTGTTGAAACCTATATAAGGGTAATTGTAGATGTATAATGTATTTAGTAGAAATTAAGACACTGATACGGGAAAGAGAGCATTGAACAACACATGTAAAGTCTTTATATCTGTAACCTCACTGTGTCAATCAAGTATAATAGGAACATGCAATGAAATACACACTAATACACTTACACAAGCATATATGAGAGTAATGTATTATGTTAAAAGTTAAAACTTCCGTATTAACAAGTAAGATGGTGTACCAAGGTTCATTGCAGAGATTATACTGTATTGTGACTTCTCGTACAAATCTTTGCTGTCGTAATGCATTCTGGAAAATAAAATAAAACAAAATTATCATTATTCAACAAGATAAACAGAGACAGAAAGATTTCTACATTCATCAAATTTTTTCAGCATCATTTTTTTTTTTTAAAAAAAAATCAGCAAAATAGAAGGAAACAATAGAGTATTAAATTTTACAGAGTTTGATGCCTTGGAAAGAAAACCATGGACAAGATAGAAAGCTAAGAACACCATACAATTAAGGTTTACCAATTTGTCCATAGTTCTCTTTTTGATGATAAATTTGAGGAAAATTAAGAGAGAGAGAAAAAAAAATATAAAAAAAACAATAACACTAATATATACATACATATTCACTTATTTTTGTCTTTTGCAAACTAATCAATGAAAAAAATGTGTAATTATATACTTCTCCATACTTTACCATATAAAACAGCGAAACATTTCACAGTATTACTTTTATACAGTCTTCTTCAATTAACTTTCCTGTATAGTTCAACATTAAAAAGATTTCCCAACAATAATAGTTGACCAATGTATGGTTGGGGAACTTCGTTGCTTAAACAGCCTATATATAAGTTAAATGCTGCAAATTCCATAGAGAAAACAAAAAAAGTTACCGAGGCTGCAGCTCTAGTTGTCATTGAGCGCTCCACAGCAACTGGAGCCAAGGTAGGCTCAATTGTAGATGTATGCGTGAGGCAAGGTTCAAGATCAATGGATCCACCTCCTTTCTGAAATAAAACAAAGAAAGTAAAAAAACCATCAAATCAATTAGAATTGATGAATCACGCTGCTATTCTGAGACCAAGATCTTATCTACTGCAAGCATGATGGGATCTGGTCCTTATAATACTTAATCCCCTATGATTTAATTCCTCCTCACAGGATTTCAACCATTTTATATCAAATACCTTTCCTAACTAGTTCAAATCCTTGCCATTGCTCCCCCCCAAATGCTAACATCATACTACTTAGCTTCATTTCTAGTGAGGACAGAATTGGTCAAAGTACACAACTTTGCATAATACATTTAATCTTGCTTGAAAAATCTTCTGATTAGTAAAGCAATCAACTAGCTTCATTTGTCGAGATATTTAACTTGAATTGATAATTTTGCAAATAAATAGAATTCATTTCTCATTAAGATTATACAGAGTACTAAAACGGCAATCTTTTGTAAAGAATTCATTCATTGAATTAGGCTATCAACAACTATATACCATATATATCCCAATAAATATAGTCCATTTTCAATCTCCTATATTTAATCCAGAATTTGATTAATTTTACTACCTAATTTTTATGCTTCGTATTCATTATTTCGCAGATACAAGAAGAACCAAAGAATATTTCCTCAGTTAATATCTATACTCCATCCGTGTTTTAATAAGTGTTATTCACCAAATGCGGCTGTGTTTTTACTAAGTTTTACATGTCCTTTTTTTTGGCAAAAATCTACATTTTAATATTATATATTACTCATTCAATGGTCCCAACCCAAACCCACTACTACATTTTTTTTATTATTTCTTTCCTCTCACATTCATTACATTTCAATAAATTATTAACCCCACTATCTTTCTTTTATAATTTTTAATACTCCAATTACCCCACTTACCTCTTATTTTATTTAAGTTAATTAAATTGCCTAAAACTATGTGCCAGTCAAGTGTAACACTTATTAAAACACGGAGGGAGTAAATTGTTATTGTGAGCCACATTAAATACCTCTCCCCACCCACCCCCCACCCCCCAAAAAAAAAAAAAAAAAAAAAAAAGAAAAGCACATCTAGTTTAAGATCATTCTGAAAATGGAGAAACATGAAAGTCCCCAAGGAAACAAAGAGTGTAAGTGTGAAAAATCTTGACTAAGAGAAGGAGAAACAAGAGGGATAGCACCAAATAGCGCACCTTCATAATGCAGCAACGTTCAACACGAAAACTACAGCCGATTGCTGCTCCCCATGCACGAGATCGGACGTTGTTTCTCAGAGTAGAAACATAACCTTCAGGCAGTCCAAGTTCACTTGTTAGATGCAGTAACAGCAAAAGGCAGGATGCATGCATATAAGTGTTTCTTACTAGGAAAAAAAATATCAAACATAGCAAATGGGGAACAAATATAGACAGCTGAACAGAATAAGGGTGTCTATAATTTAACAAGCAGAAAAAGAGGAAATAGATCGCCAATGCAGCTCACATAACACAAACAAAGCATTGTGCAAAAACTAGCAAAGAACAAAACTGTAGACCCTTATGGACAGAAACAGAAGCAACCATAGACCTTCTATTTAATTAATATATAATGTCCTTTAAATCCAGATGAAAACGTATCAGAGCAGATGATCAGAACCAAATACCAAACTCATAATTCAATGTGACATATTTGTCATCAAAACAATAGAAAGAGACAAGATGAGATTTGGTGGGTTAATCTTTCAACAAAAATTGCATATCTTTTTCTATGTAAAGCAAGAAAAAGAAAGGATTGTTTTTTTATGGAAAGAATATGGAAGGAAGGAAATGAAATTGATTTAGAGATGAAAGAAAAAGGTGAATATATAAGAAAAAGGGGGGAAGGCAGGGTAAAAGAAGAGATGATACAATGTGAGTTGCAACTCAAAACCGGCAGCATAATTTAAGGAAACGTCTATCTGCCAGACATTTGCCAACTAAAGGTCAAACTTTCAAACATGTATTCTGAGGGAAGATACTTCACTTCACATTGCTCACGTTTTTTAGCTGAAATAACATTTGAGGGGGAAAAAAAATATCCTGCACCCATCTATGTGTGACACGCTGACACCCTTCACGTTAACCAACAATTCCACAATGAGGAGATGATAGCACCACTTTAAGCAAAATATATGCTGATGCATTAGGGAGAAAGCTAGAGGCAACTGGCAAAGGCTATAGAAGTAATCTCCATATCACATTTTAAACATTTCCACATTAAAAATAGAATTTCAATAGAACTATAAAGTCAAGACAGAGCTCTCCTAAACACCATGTCAGTATTTAACCTATCTCACTATAATAAAACTTTTTACCAAAAATCATCCACACAGAAAATTAAGCATACAATTTACAAACACAAACTAAAATATGAAAAAACATTGTTGTATGCATATACCAAAGTACCAAACAAATGAGAAACTGCTTCAAATCAAATATAAATAGTCATATTGTGAAAATCTATAATATAATTACAGAGTCAGTTAATGAGATTTCTAAATATACATGTTACGTATATACACGGATACACTCTAGTTTAACAAAATTTGAAGTTTTGAATCTTTCGACTTACTATCTTGCGGAGGTAGAATACGTATTGTTGCACGTAACTCTTGAATAGCTGCTGGAGGAGGAGATGCTGTTGGCCGGCAATAGCCTGTATGCATGAGAACTGAAAAGACAATGTTTTCACGTTACGTGTTTCTTCAACATGTTGATCCTTCTTTCAGCTCAATAAATATTATCAAATTACCTACCAGCAACAAGATCTGAATCATCAGTGTATATATCTGTTCCCCAAAGCTGTCCACCTCTAACCTGTTCAGTAAACATATCAAATATCACTGAAAATAACATTGGGTTTCCAATAAAGCAAAAAAATTTTTTACAAAAAAACCCCATAGCATACAGAGTATAGACTAAAATACAAAAAATTCACAATCTTTAAAACTCGATCCTAGATAAATAGGATATCACTGAGGGGAGAAACAAATCATTCCACACTCAAACAACCTCGCTATAATCACAGAACACTCCAAAAACATCATCAGGACTGTTGCTAACCAAATATGCCAACTGATCCAGCAGTTTCATTTAAGAAAATTACGACTTACCAATCAATTAATTAACAAACTTAAATAATGAAGTAATAAATGGAACAGTGATTTTAAGAATCAGAAGAAGAGGAACGCTTTTCTGTTACCAACATTTCCATCACAGAGCCGTTATATGTGAATTGTTGTTTTACTAACAAGCAAAGCTCGTCAGCCTTGACAACTAACATTGCATATGGACAATGTTTGGGAAACTACTCTAGAAGCAAGTACAAAAGCTAAAAAGATCTCAAAATACCTAACTGCAAGTTATATCAATTCAACTATTTATGGTAGACTCACTGGTATAATTATTAAAGAAAAAACAGAAATTAGATCCTGGTAATTCTGAAATAGACACAACAATCATCAGGAACTAACTTACTTGACGGTTTGTAGCAGTTACATGCTCAGCCGGTATCCTGATTTCTAAAGTAGGACCATTAGATAAATTATCGCTGCTTTTATCAGCCTGGGATGATTCGTATTCCCTCCATAATTTTGTCAATTCTTGCATGCATTCACCAACTTTATAAACAGTAGATACCTCAGTTTTACCTGTGGAAAAAATGTTCAGTGGCTATATATATTGCAGACCAAATGCTACCTACATCTCCATTAATCCAAATGTAATTATTTTGAACTAGATGAATATGTAATTATCCGTGATAGGGAGTGAGATACGAATGAGTGTCATTACATAGTATGAATCCCTAACTAATGTTCAGTGAAGATTGGCCAAACAAAGTAAAGCATGTATCAGACTATACTGTTAAAAATTTAAAAATTAGAAAAGACAGGGTACTCAATATTTACATAATTATTACTTTTGAAAGAGAGAGGAGTGGGGGGTCACAGAATTTGAAACAGTTGGATGAGTACAATAACTCAAGAAGGCCAAAAGAAGATACAATCAAAGACATAATCTAACCCCTTTAAATGAAACCATTGACTGCATTGCACTATAAAACTTGCAACATATATAATAAGCTCTATATACACACGATACGTGCGAATTATATTAAAAAGTAGGTGAAACAACTAACAATATAATCCTCACATTAATTTTACTTATAAATCTATATGGTGTAATGTGTAAGCCAATAATATCAGAATATATACATATAAACATGATGAAAATTTTATTATCATAGTTCAACAATTGTTATCACATAAACCTAATTCCTCTAATCTGAAGTTTATTATTTCTTTAGAGAGAATGGAGTATAACATAGATGACAAAACTAAGTTCATGATTGTCATTGACTTTATAGCCAATTTTTACATTCTACAGAAAATATTTTGGAACATGGTACGTTGATTATAAGATTATGTTGAATAAATCATTTTATTATTTTTATTTACGAACAATATAGAATGCTACATAGAAACTTTAAAATTATAATGTATATAAGATTACAAAATTCCGTAAATATCAATTTTGTACAATAAATATGTAGAAATTTGGGATCTTTCAAATTGTATTGTATATATAATTTTAAGATTTTTCCTTCGAAAGAAATAATACTTCACATTCATATCAAATTGATAGGAGCAATTTTAGAAATTTCACAAACACCACTTATTACCCCTTGGCTTATATAATAGAGAAAAACCATCAGCGGCAAAGTAATGATGACAGTACAATATTGAAAAAATAGTTCATCCTTTAGGCTATTATAAAAATGTCCATGGAAGACCTAAAAAGGGCATATATATACCCAAAGTTTACTCAGTAAAACCCCACCATATACCCACCAACTGAAGAAGTTCACATATTAAGTCAATTTTTACTAGAAAGATAAGCAGCAAAATACAATGGGAAAAGAGAGCACCAAGCAACATGTCATGGCTTATGCCAAAATGACTTTCACGGTGAACAGAAAGTCCATTTTAGTGAATTTTAATGGCAACATATCAGGCATACCTTGAGACCTGCAAAGAAAGCAGAAAAGGAGGGTTAGCAATGTCTTAGACAATGCAATGTAAGTGTCTGAAAAGCAACATTCAGCATGGACATAGATGTTTACAAAGTTGGTAGGTCAATACCTCAAAAATAAAAGACAATCATATTCATATTTATAATGGGATTTTCAAAAACCATCAATGTTAAACCTACATGTAATATATTTCAGAACAATCTATGTTAAACCTATATGTAATATTTCAGAACAATCTATATTAAACCTACATTTCAGAACAATCTATGTTAAACACTTAAACCTACATGTAGTATTTCAGAATATTCTTAAGTGTAAATGGCCTGACTACTTAGCAGATACATAGCGTCAATTTTTTATATTTTAGTGGTATACATGCATTTTAGAACCAAATGAATTACACCAATACAAACATATATAAGAACTGCCCTAAGCCATAACTCAAAACATCATTCACACAACATCTAGATCAAGGACCAGAATAGCACACCAATGAAGCAATTAAAAGCCTAAGCTAAGTAAAAGTGTCTAGAAATAGAGGATAGGACTTACCCCTCTCCATCTTGACCGCGAGACTTGAAACGTCCATCACGATTAGCAACTTGGGGACTACCTCTTGGACGAAGCATCCTCTTCCGCTGCTGCACCCCGTAACTAAAGGTGTCTTTTTCTCTGTCTGCAGCTCCATCAACATCAGCACCCCCTTCTTCAGACTCTTTGTCATAGACCCTAGTGCGCTTCTCGGGCCTTTCTGCCTCTAAATCAGCATCTCTCTCTTTCCTCCTCTCTTTAGCTTCTCTTTCCATATTTCTCCAAGATTCAGTTGGTTTCTTCTGTTCCACAGGAAAGTTCTCCTGAACAGATGTTTTCTCTGCGATCTCTTTCTCATTCTGATGATTTTCTTTCTCCCCGCCAATCCGACCTTCTCTGTCAACATGTTCCTTTTCTTTTTCCTTTGGTCTTTCCTTCTCTTTTAAACCTTCTTTTCTCTCCCTCCCCCACTGCTCAGATTCCCTTTCTTCTCTAATTACTTCCTTGAAAACATTATTACTAGTAGTACCAGCTGCTTGCACATTACTCTTGTGATCACTCTTATCTTTGTCACTTTCAGGCCAATCATGGTGCTTCCCTTCCTTACGCTTTCTCTCCTTTTCCTTGAATTTATCGTCGCTTTTAAGGTCAACTCTATTCTCTCCCACGGCTTCACTTATTTCACGAAATGCCACAGCAGCATCCCTGGCAGGGTCAAATTTGGGGCGCATTTGAGTAGCATTCATCCAAAAGTTTGGCATTCCACCACCGCCTGGAACATCAGAATGTTTTTTCCCTCTGTATTGCTCTTTCCAATTAGTATGACTCCCGGACCCTCCATAAACATCCTTATCCACTTTCACCTCACTCTTCAAATCATTACGAATGTCCCTCTCATGTTTCCCTTCTTTACTCTCATCCACCCTACTCTCCTTCTCAGCTTTGACAGCCTGATGATGCACCTCTCTAGATTCAACTTTCACATCTCTATTACCCTCCCCGCCCTTGCTTTCTCTAATCTCCTTTGAATCCCTTACTTCTGTCCTAATCTCAGGACCAGCAATAGGATGAGTAGCATGTGCAGAATCAGCATTTATAGACGACAAGGGCATTTTATACACCGAATGCAAAGGGGATCGTCTTTCCCCATCACGAAATTCTGGACGAGGTAACAATCCTGGTCTAGTAGACTCTTGAACTGCCCCATAATTAACCCTTGGAAAACCAGAATTCTCCTCCTCCTCACCAGCAAAACCTGGCCGCATCGAGGAAGACGACGAATGAACGCCTTCCTCATGCGCCCCTCTTTTCGGAGCACCACTCATTTACTTCTGCTTTTGCTAATTTAACCCCCTCCAATTATCCCCCTTCACTCACCCTACAAACAACACAATACTCCCCAAATGTAATAACAACCAAATTCCAACTGAAAATGAAATCCAACAACAGCAAATTTTAACATTAAGAACAGAAATTCAATCAAGTTCTAAACTTTATGAATTTAAATTGTAACAAAGCCTTAAGATTTCAAATTTACAAAAAATTGTAAAGTAACCCAAATGCTGAAAATTTACAAAAACAAGCAAATTGCGATGAATTGGGTAAATTATACCTGAAATGAAATCCAAAAACAGCATATTTTTACATAATGAGCAGAAAATCAATCAAAGTTTCATACTTTAAAAACATTAACTTGTAAGATTGCAAATTTAGGGAAAATGTAAAGTAACCCAATGCTAAAAAATTAAAAATAAGTAAATTGTGATGAATTGGATAGAAATTAAATTATACCTGAAAGGAAGAAACCCTAGATTGGATTGAAAGTGAAAAAATTATTGCTCTAGTTGAGAGAAAATGCGGTTTTTCTCTTACTACGACGTACAACGAAATTTTATGAGCGAAGAAAAAAAATGTTTGATTAATTTATGAAGAGGAGAGATGATTAAATGGTGCTAAATGTTTGCTAATCCTAATATTACTTGGTTTGCAAGGATTTTTTATAAAAAAATTTAATTGTAATTAAGCAGGATTATTATTATATTAACAATATTTTATGCCAAAAATAGCCCTTCTGAGCCAAGCTTAGCATGTGTCTAAGGGTCTAACTGCTCTTACATAGTTACATGAGTTCAATGACTTACATCAGCTAAATGAGTTCAATGACTTACATCAGCTAACTAGCCTTGGTGGCAAAGAAAAAAAAAAAAAGAAGAAGAAAGATTAATGTTAATAGAACCAAAATTTGACTATGTAAAAAAACTTATAATTGAATAGGCTAACTTCTTAAATAGAAGACGTAAAAAGTTTTAAAATTGATACGAAAGGTTTGAGATTTTGAGTTCAATTCTTATCAAATGTAATAAAATTTCTTTATGTCATCTTACCAAACTTAATGTTAATTTAACATTACTTTAGAAAAATAAATAAAAGAGCTAATGTTTTCAATTGGTACCGAATATATCCTTTGAATGTGATATTTCATGCGATGTATGTTACAGAGTATGATTTATCTATTACTTTTCCGACATTTTTTCTATTTTCAAAAGCTGAAAAGTTTGCAAAATATATATAGTTTTTTTAGCTAGAGAAAACATCATTCCACAAAATTTTTGAACGGTCGTGTTTGGTGATTAACTGAAAGATGTAGCTTATTGATTTGACTAACTTATTTTATTAGCTAATTATATTGGTAAATAATTGATTGATTATGTGAAATGACCAATACGGAGTAAGCTAATTGTGGGAGTAGGTAGTTCTAGAGTTGTTCATGGGCGGGACGACACGTTAAGTCCGCCCATCCCGGCCTGCAAAAAGGGCGCACTTGGACAACTTTTATGAAAAAAATGGATATTTGGGCGGGCTAGGCCCGGCCCGTTAATATAAATGGACGGGTATGCATGGACAAGAAAATATGTATCGTGGGCTAGCCAACCCGGTCCGTTGGTAATAATAATTTTATTTAGTTTGTTAATTATGACATATATTGTGTATTTTAGAAAATAAATACAAAGAGACTATATTGAACTATAAGTTTTTATTAGTTTTAATTATTTATTTTATTTTTATATTTTATCATTAACACTTATTAAATAAGTTTTTTTTTCCTATATTTATAACATATGTCATAATTTCAACCTTTGAACCTTCTATTTAATTTCTATTACTATTTGTGAACAAAAAATACTAAAATAATTTTAGCACCGATAAATAATAAAAAGGTTAATTAGTTTTATAAAAAACAAAAAAAACCCGTTAGCTCGCAGAGGCAAGCCCAACCCGTTTAATAAGCGGGCCTGGACAAAGTATCAAGCCAGCATAAAAGGGTTCGAGATTGATACATAAAGCCCGTTGGACAAAAAAAACGCCCAAGCCTGCAAATGATCAATAGTTCACTAGTTCATATAGGATTTTAAATCAAATGGGTACAACTGTACAAGTGACATTTCACTTCACCCATGTGGGTTTATGAAGATTATGATACAGTATAAAGTAAGAATAGGCTTGGGAATCTTTAACTTGAGTAGCAAAAACACATTCAGTTGACTTCAAGACTTAGCATCAAACAACATGAATGAAAAGGCAACTGTACTTTATCCATCGCTCCCAATTCCCAGCTTCTCGATTAACCCTTAGTGCATAGCTCCTATGGGTTTATCAAACATATAGGATGAAAAATGTACCATTACATGTATATTAGATGATAGGTGGTAAATATTTTAGGGGAAAATATTCAATGTATATGATGGTAAACAGTACCACTGCATGCACAATATTACACAAAAGTATTATTCAAACATTTTATATTTTAATAGTACATTATATATGCATAATGGTACATTATAATGTACCATTGTAGATTCAACTTTTTCCAAAAACTTATCAAATTTACAATTTTGCCCTCTATATGTTTAGCAAACATATAGGCCTTGTTTGGCAAATGGCTGTTGGCTGGTTCACTTGACTTGTTTGACTAGCTGGAATGTTTGGTTGTTTATAATGGCTTTTGGAATTGGCTGTTTATAGAAGTGTTTGGTAAATTAATTGTTGGTTGTTGGCTGTTTATTAGATAATTTGTGGGCCAACAAGCCAAAAGCCAACAAAAAAGCTACTCAAAGCAGCTTTTTCATTTTGGCTTAAAAGCCAGCTTTTTTGCTGACTAAAAAGCCAATTACCAAGCACATTTTTTGGCTATTTGACCACCTAAAAAAGCCAAAAGCCAAAAACTAACCAAAAAGCCATTAAAAAGTTAATTATCAAACATGACCATACTCCGTAGGAACTATGCGCCTAGTTGTACTCCAGCTTCTCTATCATATTTGTTCGATCAAATGGTGGTAGACAGCCTTAATATGACATAAGGAACATAAGCAAAAACAAAACTTATGTGATGCTCATTAGCGAGGCATCAAACACACATCTTGCAGGCAGGGCCGTCCTAATCATTTTAGGGCCCCTGTTCTAAACTCATAAATTGGGCCCTTATAATGAAGTACTACCTCAATTTCTTTAAATCTACAATTTTAGAGTATTATTTAAGAGAGATTAAAAAAAATGTCAAAGGTAATATTATTTTTTTCTAAGAAATTATCTCAATATATTATCATAGATGAAATAATTAACTGTTTTAAACAAAACCCAAAAACTCAACTACTTTATTTAAATTGTAAATAATATGATTAATATCCCAATACAATCTAAATTACTAAAACTATTTGAACAGAGTTCTTCTTTGAGATTGAGTTAGCTCTTCCGTTTTTCTTCTTTCTCATAAGTTTATCATAACTAAACACATACTTTATTTTGGGAGGCATAATTTTCTAAAAAAAAAAACTGCAATAGTGTAAATAATTAAACAAACAATTCGCCAAAAAAACAACAAATCATGCAATCTATCTATAAATAAACTAAAACAACAACCGCTGACATCATCACTTTTCAAATTGTACACATGTCAAATTGTGGTTGAAATATTTCCCGCCTAAATACATTGCTGACATCATATTTTAATATTTTTTTTTTAATTTTCTTACCTTAAATTATTACAATACTTTTTTTTTTTTAAAAAAAAAACAATCTATAAATCTATAAATATAACTAAAGTAATTACCTTTGATGTCATTACTTTCCACATTTCAACTTATTATAAAAAAATTTCCCACTAAAACTAATAATGACATTATTATTATTTTTCAACATAAATATATTTTTTTGAGGAAAAATAAAAATTTGAAAATGCTAAATATTTTTCTAATAGATTTTATAAATTAAAAGAAGGTCGGACTATTTCATTTTCTTATAAACAATATCTTTTTCTCATACTCCGTATATTGTATACATATTACTTCGTATATGAATTAGGGTGTCTATTCTTTATTAATTTATCAATTTATTAGATTTTTCTTAAATTATTTCTACTACATACATATTACACACAAATATAGTTAAAATCGTAAATTATTGTTAAAATAGTGCATCGCACGAGCCTAATCTAGTTATTATCAATAACTATATACTAAAAGATACACCAGCAATGACACGTGTAATTTTCTGGTGTGTCCCTTAGTTTTTTTTAAAATTTTTTTTTTATAAAAAAAAACCTATTTAAAAAATAAATCTTAAATAAAATAAATTATTATAAACTTATACATAAATAAAAGATTTCATGTATTCTTGACAACTATATAAACTTATGTAAAGGGGGAAAAAAAATCAAACTTAGCTTCAACATAATTTTGCCAATTATAGTGTCATGTACTTCAATAATTGCATTTATATCTTTATAAAATAATGATGTATATTTAGAAGCTTCAAGAAAGTGACTAGAATATTAAAAATTACTTAAAATAAAATATTTGATAAATCCTTCCACAAAAATATTAACAACTACAGAGTATAAGTTTTAGGAAAAAAAAAGGATTCTTAACATGTGACATATTGAGTGTAATGTACTATTTTTTTACAACATCAATTTACTTTCTAAAAAAAATTAAAATAGAAATATATTTACGGGTTAAATACATAGTACATAGCTTTAAGAAATTCATTTGGTTAATAAGCAAAAAATAAAAAAAAAATAAAAAAAATGATACTAATATGTTGGTTAAATATACAAATATTATAGACCGGGTATTGTCAAATGTGTATATTAAAATACGTATCAGGCTGATGGGATATTTCTTAATAAATTCATCATATTATTTTAGACAAATTCATTATATTATTTTTTTTTGTTTTTGTTAGCAAATGTATGTTTTTTTTTTTTTTTTTTTATAATTAAATGTTATTTTCATTCAATAATAATTATTTAAAATTACCGTGCATGGCACGGGACCTAATCTAGTATTATATTATATTCCATATATTATATTATGATGAATTTGAGTTACTATTTGGCTTCAAAATATAATTACTCCTGGTTAAAGAGTAATTCGTATTGTATAATTTACTTAAATTTATACTCTTTTTAAAAATTAGTTAGATCTAAATAGCATTGCAATTAATGGTTATGTTTTTATAATTTATCTCATACAAGTGACATATGTAAAATAAATATTTAGTTCAAAAAAATTTTTTATGTCGCGCATGGCACGAGGCTTATCTAGTTAAACTAATAGTTGAAATTGCAAAAAGGATTTAACAACTTGCAACTCTAATTGTTGTAACTCACTTTAGCATTTCCATGGCTGACTATGAGCAATTCACTTGGCAAAAAGTAATTTGAGTTTGATAATAACATTAGTTTTTTTTTTTTAATTTTTTTTTTTTTTTTTATTGACGGGGTATAATAACATTTGTTATTGAAGAAGATAGGAGATTGAAATTATATTTATAGGGGGTGAAAAGTTCAATCGTTGATTAATGAACATTAAGGGATTTCATTGTACAAAACACAAAATTAATTTCTCCATTAAAAGCAATTCAAGATTTGAGAAATCATCTGTGATAGAAGACAAACGTTTAATTTGGAAATTGAAAATTTAGGAGTAAAACAATAAATTAAATGGGAAATTAGGAAAGAAGATTGAAGAATATAGGAAACTAAAGGGATTTGGGGAGCAATTTTTGAGATACTACGGTACAAGAATCTAGATAATTGGGAGAAAATGAAGGATAGAATAAAGGAGGAAGATAAGCTGCTTTCCCTCTTTTACGTGAGAATAAGAGTTAATTTTGCGCGGCATAAATGGGCCCTTTAAATTTCGGGGTCCTGTGCTAAGGGTCTGTTTGCACAGGCCCTTAGCCAGCCCTGCTTGCAGGGGAAGATGAATGTGGCTTGGGCGGCATTTGTAGTGACTCAAGTGGCCCTTCCAACATCTCTACAACTCTATTCATTGGCGGTCTGTTTGAAGGATATGTTTGTATGCACCATAAGCCAACCAAAATCATTTTTCTCTCTAACTCGTTAATGTCATTATCTTCAATCCCATCAACTGCAGCTTCCTGCACAGGCTCAAATCGACTGTATATCCATTCGGGAAAGTACAATTCACTATTGTCATGCTGAACTTCATTAGTTGGAACTTTCCTGCCACAAACTAGGTCTATGAGCATCATCCCGTAGCTATAAACATCTGATTTATGGGAAGCGCCACCAAGATTTCTACAAAAAACTTCGGGAGCAATGTACCCAATTGTCCCTCTTGCTTCTGACATTGATATCAAACTTTTCTTTGGTGGACATAATCGAGCAAGGCCAAAGTCAGAAATCTTTGGATGAAATTCATCATCAAGCCGAATATTATGAGGCTTAATGTCAAAGTGCAATATTCGTGTGTTACAACCTCTATGTAGATAGTCTAATCCCCGAGCAATTCCAATTGCAATGTTGAACATAGTTTCCCATTGCAATGGCTGTCTAATCTCTTTACCATATATAAACTTTTCAAGTGATCCATTAGGCAAGAACTCAAACACAAGAGCTCTTTTGTATCCTTCGAAACAAAATCCTAAAAGAGTCACGACATTGACATGATTAGTCATGCTAATGCTTAATACCTCATTGATGAAATCTTTTCCATCACCCTTTAAAACCTTCAATTTCTTCACTGCCACGAAACGACCATTGTGTAGTCTTCCTTTGTAAACACTTCCATAACCTCCTTCACAAAGTTTATCTTTGAAGGAATTGGTTATTTTCTTTATGTCTGCATATGTGTATCCTTTTTGCGCGAGAGATCCATAACTTTGTAAAAAGGCTGCTACATTTTGATCCCCTATCGTTCGCCTACTCCATAGTAATGAAAATTTACTGGTTTTTCGTCTTTTATATAGACAAATGATCAAAGCAACCAACATCATTGTCCCTACTAGTGAAGCAGCTGCACCTGTAGAACAATAATCATATTGAAGTTTCCTCAATTTTGAATCCCTCGTTCCCTTTCTTACAAACACTTTCTACGGAATTCATAATGGTACAAAGAGAATTGTATGTACAATACCTGATCCTAAGTCCTAACATTAAATTTCGTCGTCCACCTGCACAAAGAAAACTTGTAGACATTAGTCTGTGCTTAAGCATTAATCCTTGAGTGATGCTAGTTTTTTTTGGTCCGTCTATAAATATAAATTGTACATTTTTTATATATTGATTGATTTCTTTTTTGAATCCTTAATAATACTGCAAGTAAAAAAAAAAAAAAATCACCAAGCAACCTATCAAAGAGAATAATAGCCTAAAACTATGGACCTATGATAAACGAGCTTGGGCCACATCCACTATAAGTGTGCACTTTAATTCTTTCCTTCAATATGGAATTCGCATCCTAATACTCCTTTTCAGTTTTACTCTCTTTCAATGTGGGACAACACCTTCACTCACACATGGGTGTGTTCATAGATTCAACAACCTATCATTTGTAACCTCCTTTTGCCATTATCAATCAAATAAAATTTCCAACCTTTCATCTTAAATTTTCCACTTATTCATTAGAATATACAAACCAGATTTACAGTCTAATACAACTTGATAGTCTATTACAATGTAGAGGAATACTATTGTAATTTAAAAGTCTATTTTAGACTTTCACTTCTTTTATCAGATGATTTTAAAAGGAAATGTAGATGAACCAGATATATATATTTACCAAATAATCAACAATTTTACCTTTCTATTGAGTTATCTCCAATAACTAAACATGGTATTATTATTTGTCAATGTGATCTGTTGTAATAAAGATAAGGCTTTTTTGCTATTCCAAAATTAAAAAGCAAATTAAAAAGTAATGAATTAGCACCTGATTCAGAACATACTAATGGATGAGGCCCATCCGCGCAATGACAAACGAACTGATTCTCTGCTAAAGACCCTGATGATCCACATCTGCCGCCAGACTTCTCACACTTAGAAGTTAGAACAGGCAGTGAAGTTCACATTGTACTCCACCCTAACATTTGACCACCTCTTTAAGTCATTAACAAGTGAAACATTTCTGCTGCTGAGCTCATCTAGCCCTCTCTTACTTATCGGAATAGTAACATTACTCTTGCACGAACATGATCTAATTATGCCTGATAAATAATTATGAAAGTGATAAGCAGTATCACCACCAGTTCTCGGGCAAGAACTAGGAACCTCACACCCAATTGATGGGTTACCAAAGTAATAAGCTGTACAACTGGTACCATCACCGTTGGAGAAAGAAAAAGTCGTCGAGTAATATCTAGAGTTACAACTATTATTGCAACCATAGATTAGACTTATATTTCTATCATCCACGTCTAGGATTGGCTTCATCGCCGTGGAAAGAAGTGATACATAGCTTGTATTTTGCAAATAACAGCTGTTGAACAAGTTGCTTAGGGAAAAAGCGATGGTGTGGGAAGATTGGTTGATGCTAAGCACTTGTAACTTCATGATGTTGTTTTGAAATACGTTCATGTAAACTTCAGAATCATTACCACATATGACCTTGAATTCTGGGACTCCACATAAGTTGGGCCTATTATCCCCCCAAAATGGATACCCGACATTTTGGAATTGCCCGCATGAAAATGGAATAGAGCATGCTGTATATGGTGCATACTCAGAATTTGACAAGGGAACAACATCTAACAACAAGAAAATACAGGTTATGAAAGGAAATTGTATGCTTATAAAACCATTAGAGACCTGTTAGATTATAGATTATGGAAATAATCTTTTGTAATTATCGTGCATATATTTAGTGTATATCTTTCCTAGTTTAGCGTAGCTTAATCTAGACGCCTAATCTTGTATATATACTAATCTTTGATTAATGAGAAGGCACGACATATATTCTCTCATCTCTCATATTCTCTCATGGTATCACGAGTTTAGGTTACGATCCGACCTAATTCTCTTCCGCTCATCTCTTCTCTTCTCCTCTTCTTCCTTATCAATGGTCGAATCCTCTAAGATTCACCCTGCTACTGTCGTTACCAATATCAAGGCGTGTATACCCATAGTTCTTGATTATGATGGCAAGCAGTATAATACCTGGTCTACTGTGTTTCAATTGCATTGCCGCGCAAATTTGGTCCTCGATCATATTAAACCCCCTGCTAAACCAGTTACCCAGGCCGACGGTAAGGAACCACCTCAAGTTAACATGGACCTCTGGCAACGCCTTGATGATATTGTGCGTGGATGGATTTATAGCACAATTTCTCTTGATCTTCTCAATTCCATCATTGATTCGGATGATAAAGCGGTTGATGCGTGGAATCGATTGGAAATTTTTTTCAGGAATAACAAGTCGGCTAGGGCTTTGCAACTTGATGCCCAATTCACAAACACTCGGTTGGAACAATTTGAGGGTGTCCATTGATAAGTGGTTTATTTGACCACTTATTGTGTAAAGTTAAACCCGATTTTGCGATCATTTCCCCTCTTTCTAACCCAATTTTGAATGAAAATGTTTTGTCTCGGCTTTCCCCCTCTTGGTTTGTGTTTGTCCATGTTTTGCAGGTCTATGGACTCAATTGGGCAGGCTTTCGGTGCATGAATCGTGTTTAAGACAAGAGGATTGAAGATTGGAGAGGGCTCTCCAGGGGAGCGGGCGTGCACCTCTCATGGAGCGGGCGCTCCTCGACTCTAGCTACATTCTGCCCAAGTTCAGGTGCTGTTAGGAGCGGGCGTGCTCCTCACCAGGAGCGGGCGCTACTCCCTTTGAAGTTGAATCTACCCATGCTGCTGGAACAGGGGAGCGGGCGCTCCTCCCTGACACTTTCAAATCTGATCCTTCATTGAAGCATTCTGGAGAGGGCGTGCAGCCAAAAGGAGCGGGTGCTCCTCGCTGGGAATCCGTTTTCTTTTGACGGTTTTCCCTATGTGTTTCGGGGAGTATAAATACTTCCACTTTTAGCTCATTTAGGGAGAGAGTACAGTAGCCTAGTTTTCAGAAACCTCTCTTAGTTTGAAACATTCCTTAGGATTAATTTAGCCTAGTTTTCATCAAATCAAATCATTGTATTAGTGAAATTCAAGAATTACTCTCAAAGTTCGGCAATTTGTATTCAACATTTGAAGCTTCAATTAGTAATTTCTCCAACCCTTTTTCACTTAATTTCAGATTTTATTTGGTATTTGCATGTTATTTAAATCTTCTTAGTTCTTGGTAATTTGTTATTGGATGATAGTTATTTCAATTGTTAACCACTTTTCCCCAATTATTGAAGTATTTAGAACCCTAATTCTTGATTGCATGTTGATAAACATGAGTTGTGAGTAGTCTTCTTGCTAGGGGTTGGGTGAAGCTCGACCTTTTGGGTTAACTATGCAAATGTGGGAGAAGCATTAATGTTTGTATTGCAATTAAATTGATTATTGAGATTACTTGTTAGTTCCCCATGATAGGTTTAGCTACCCTTGACTTAGGAGCTTGATAGTATGATATGCCTAATTTGACATGGAAGTGTAAATTAAGTATGTCATTACTTATTGTAATTTGATTATGTACCACTATTGCTAAACTAATGAGGAATCTAAGTTTAGTAGTGTGAGTTGTTTTCTAATTGCATGAGGTTGATTTTACATATAGTCCTTGCTATATCTTGTCTACTTTACTCCCCGTTTGCCTAATTGCCTTGGTTGAGTGGATCCCATTCCCTAGTATCTTTAATTCATTGATTTAGAACCATAGTTTGTTTGTCTTCTTGACTAACCCCAATTCACCAATTGACTTCGAATTAGCTTAAGTGTAAAGATCTTTGGCAACCATATCCCGTTCCTTGTGGACCGAACTCTTACTTGTCATTATGCTTGGTTTGTAAGGTGTTTGTTAATAAATGTGTTTGATTGAGTGTGGAATGTACGACCGTTATAACGCCCATCATCCGTCCATATTGCTCTCAACTCAAGTCTCTGGCTGATGGTTTGAAGAATGTAGGAGATCCAGTCTCCGACAATCGAATGGCTTTGCAACTCTTAAAAGGTCTCTCGGGGGAGTATAAACCTTTTCGCACATCCGTTCGACATCTCAACCCTTTGCCCTCTTTTGACACTCTCCGTTCTATGCTAGAATTGGAGGAACAGGGGAATGCTACGGAATTGTCTCACGAGTCACATGATGAGGCTCTTATTTCGCAAGCTTCTCCCTCGGCACCGCAACATCAACATGATCACTCTCACAATTCTCACTCTCGTGGGGGAAATCAACAGCGTTCTGGTGGCCGGAAAAATAAGGGTAAAGGCGGCACCACCAAGGGGAAGGGTGGTGCCGGACAGCAGCAGTGTGGTGGCTCCACGCAACAGCAGCAGAAGCCCTCGCGTGGAGCACCGACGCCTCACAAGCAGCAGCAGGCAGGGTGGGCGTCCCCCCCCCCCCTTGGGCCTATTGGCAGCCAGCAACACCTTGGACGATGCCTCCATGCCCGTATCCCTCTCAAGGTCAAGGGCCACAACAGTGGGCAACCCCTCGACCTATGTCATCTCAGTCCGGTGTGCAAGGACCGAGACCACCTCAAGCATATTTTGTGAATGATTCGTCTCAAGCCTCGGGTTATATGCCAACCAACATTGAGCAAGCTATGCATACTATGAATCTTTCCGATCCGAATTACTACATGGACACGGGTGCTACGTCTCACATGACAAATTCCCAAGGTAAATTGTCTTCGTATCTTCAATTAAATAATAGCGCTCATAATTCTATTCTTGTTGGTGATGGTAGAAAAATTCCAATTTAAGGTTATGGTCACGAATCTCTTAATCAAAACACACTCCAACTCAAAAATGTCCTTCATGTCCCAAAGCTAATCAAAAATCTTATTTCAGTTCGAAAATTCACTACTGACAACAGTGTTTCCATTGAGTTTGATCCTTTTGGGTTTTCTGTGAAGGATTTGCAGACGAGGAGCAAAATAGTGAGATGTGATAGCAGTGGCGATCTTTACCCTTTCTTCTCGGATCGTCAAGTCCTTTCTTATTCCTTTCCATCCGCTTTTGCAGTTATCTCTCCAAGTGTGTGGCATTCCTGTTTAGGCCATCTAGGAAATGCAATTATAGGTTCTTTGCGTAGTAGTAAATTGATTAAATGTAATAAGGCTCATATTGATGTTTGTCACTCTTGTCCTATGGGAAAATTAATAAAGTTACCCTTTTATGATTCTCAATCTTATACTACTATGCCCTTTGACATTGTTCATAGTGATTTATGGACTTCTCCCGTATCTAGTTCTCTTGGGCACAAATACTATGTTCTCTTTCTTGATGATTACACAAATTTCTTGTGGACCTTTCCAATTGCATCAAAGTCTCAAGTTTTTAACTTGTTTCTTCGAATTAGAACCTATATTCGTACTCAATTTGAACGGGAAATAAAAGCTTTCCAATGTGATAATGGAACCGAGTTTAAAAATGATCCCTTTATTAAATTTGGTCACCAACATGGAATGGTTTTTTCGATTATCTTGTCCATATTCTTCCCCTCAAAATGGCAAATCCGGACGTAAAATTAAGACTATTAATAATATTGTTCGCACTCTTCTATGTCATGCTTCTATGCCTCCCTCTTTTTGGCATCACGCTTTAGAAATGGCTACCTATTTACATAACATCTTACCAACTAAAATTCTTGATTATAAGTCTCCAACTCAAATATTGTATCAGAAACACCCCGCCTATTCTCATCTTAGAGTGTTGGGTTGTCTTTGTTATCCTCTTTTCTCTTCTACTCAAATTAACAAACTTCAACCTCGCTCTACTCCTTGTGTCTTTCTTGGGTATCCAAGCAATCATAGAGGTTATAAGTGTTACGATATTTCGAGTCGGAAAATAATTATTTCAAGAAATGTTTGGTTTGATGAATCGGTTTTTCCATTTTCTAAAATTCATACTCCCAAACCACACACCTATGATTTCTTAAGTGATGGTTTAGAACCTCATCCGTTGCTTCAACATTTTCATGATGTTAGCACGCACCAAGCTCCTCAGTCCGCCCCTACGAGCGCCCAACAGCCTGTGGCTTCGCCGTATTCTGCTATCCCCGTCGGGTCACCAGCGGGCGCCACCGTGGGTGCCGACCGAGCTGCTAGTGCACGCTCTTCCCCTTCCCAGTCTACTCCGCAGCCGAGCCATGGCACACACTCCTCAGCCGCGGACTGCCTGCGAAGCATTCTGCCAAGCAATGCAGCCCCGCAGCTTCACAATCCCGCGCCCGCAGCTACTGCCAGGCCGCGGGTTGTTCCCGCGCCCGCAGCTACTGCCCAGCAGCTACTGCCAAGCCGCGGGTTGTTCCTTGCGCCCGCAGCTCCTGCCCAGCACCATGGGCAGCCTTCTAACTCCCCTCCCCACTCCTCTCCTCACTCTTCTCCTCCTTCCTCTCCTCCTCTTTCCCATCCCATGGTTACTCGTAGTAAACATGGCATTGTCAAGCCCAATCCCAAATACCGAGATCAATCCCATCACACCTCTACCTCCATATCACTTATTCCAAAGAACCCGATTCATGCCCTTCGTGATCATAATTGGAAAATTGCTATGCGGGAAGAATATGATGCTCTTATTGACAATGGTACTTGGAAATTGGTTCCCCGACCGCCGAATATGAACATAATTCGGTCTTTGTGGATTTTTCGACATAAGACCAAGTCTGATGGGTCTTTTGAAAGACATAAGGCTCGTCTTGTTGGTGATGGTAAAACTCAACGGGAAGGAATTGATTGTGATGAGACTTTTAGTCCGGTTGTTAAACCGACAACTATTAGGGTGGTACTTAGCATTGCTTTGGCTAAGTCTTGGAAAATTCATCAATTGGATGTGAAAAAGCTTTCTTACATGGTCATTTGAATGAAACAGTTTACATGTATCAACCTATAGGATTCAAGGATCCTGCCAAACCTGATCATGTATGTTTATTGGAAAAGTCACTTTATAGTCTGAAACAGGCACCCCGAGCATGGTACAAACGTTTTGCAGATTTTGTGGCTACAATTGGTTTTGCTAATAGCAAATCTGATACCTCATTGTTCATCTATCGCCATGGTAATGATACTGCTTATCTCCTTCTATATGTTGATGATATTGTGCTTACTGCTTCCTCGGATTCTCTCCGACGACATATTATCTCTAGGCTCAGCTCTGAATTTACTATGAAAGATTTGGGTCCCCTGAGTTATTTTTTGGGTATTGCTGTTACTAGAGGTAAAAATGGTTTATTTTTATCTCAAAAGAAGCATGCGCAGGAAATTTTGGAAAAAGCAGGAATGGCGAAATGCAAACCTTCGTCTACTCCTGTTGACACCAAAGGCAAATTGAGTACTAAGGAGGGTTCTCCATAAGACGATCCTACTTCTTATCGGCGCCTATGTGGTGCTTTGTAGTACTTGACTTTCACTCGACCTGATATCTCTTATGCGGTTCAGCAAGTATGCTTGTTTATGCACTCACCCCGTGTTGAGCACATGGATGCGTTGAAACGCATTCTTCTCTATATTAAAGGTACGACAGATTTTGGTTTACAACTACATAAATCTCCCGTATCTTCTCTTGTGTCGTACACAGATGCAGATTGGGGCGGGTGTCCGGACACTCGTCGTTCTACGTCAGGGTATTGTGTGTACCTTGGTGATAATCTGATTTCTTGGTCTTCGAAACGCCAACCTACTTTGTCTAAATCCAGTTGTGAAGCAGAGTACAGAGGGGTTGCAAATAAGGCTATACACCGGTCCAAAACCGGACCGGACCTGACTAGACCCGGACTTGAATGGATCGGGACCTGAATCCTTGATTTTTAAGGACCGGAGACCGGACCTGAATCAACAGGTCCGGTTCCGGTCCAGACTTGAAAAACCAGGTCCGGTCCGGGTTTGGACCTGAATAGACCTGATTATTATTTTTTTTTTGATTTTTTTAAAATAAGATGAAAGTGCTGACCTGTTTAGACCTGTTTGGACCTGTTATGGACCTGTTTGGACCTGTTTTGGACCTATTTAGACCTGATTGGACCTGTTTAGACCTGTTTGGACCTGTTATGGACCTGTTTATGGACCTATTTAGACTTATTAAATAAAAAAAATAGTTTTACCGGTTTCAGGTCCGGGCCTGAAATTTCCGAGTTTTACCCGGACCGGACCTGAAACCCGGAATCGTAGAATTTCAAGGACCGAGACCGGACCTGAATTTGCAGGTCCGGATCAGGTCCGGTCCCAACAGGTCCGGTTCAGGTCGGTTTTCAGGTCCGGGCTAGTTTATGTACACCCCTAGTTGCAAATGTGGTTTCTGAATCATGCTGGATTCGGAATTTGTTGCTAGAGCTATTTCTTCCTATTACGAAAGCAACATTGGTTTATTGTGACAATGTTAGTGCGATTTATCTCTCTAGTAATCCGGTACAACATCAGCGCACTAAACATATTGAGATGGACATTCACTTTGTTCGTGAGAAGGTTCAACGCGGCGAAGTTCGTGTCCTACATGTTCCATCCCGTTACCAGATTGCAGACATTTTCACTAAAGGTCTGCCTAAGGTTTTATTTGATGATTTTCGGGACAGTCTCAGTGTTCGTAGTCCTACCGCTTCGACTGCGGGGGTGTGTTAGATTATAGATTATGGAAATAATCTTTTGTAATTATCGTGCATATATTTAGTGTATATCTTTCCTAGTTTAGCGTAGCTTAACCTAGACGCCTAATCTTGTATATATACTAATCTTTGATTAATGAGAAGGCACGGCAAATATTCTCTCATCTCTCATATTCTCTCAAGACCATTTTTCATAAAAAGAACCAAGCTTTTCTTGTAATAAAATTAGAATACAGAGAAGAAAAATAAATGTGATACCCCTTAGCGAAGATGAGACTTTAAATTGAGGGAGCCCCCATTCCTCACGGTGAGAAACAATTTCGTTTCTCATGATGGCATTTGGAAATTTTTTACAAGTTTATCACTTATTGAGCTGATGAGTCGAATTATGTGGGGACAGCCTATGTGGCAATATGTTTGAGTAATGTCGTTACCCTGCAAACGATTTCACAGTTCTCATCCTTTTTAGCCGTTAAGTTTTGATGTTGGCGAGAAATGGCTGATTGATTATCTGGGAACACAAAATTTTACTGATAAACTCGAATTATGCTCATTCCCTAATTTCACAATTTAACTAGAGTCGCAAATTCCATAAATTACCGATTCAATAATTCCATAAATTACCAATTCATTTGTCAATTTATTCCATTGTTACCTACCCCAACAACATTCATATAAACAAGCAAAGGCTGTTCAAATTGGGGAAAGAAAAAGGAGGAATGTGAAGATTAATGTTCGACTGGAAATCAGACGTTACCTGGAACCGCGTACTCGACTTGTGTTCGCCCAGAACTCAACTGCAACCCATATGAATCAGCCACAATTCGTGCCTTCTCAAGCCAGTGGAAACGAGTGCCTTTTTCACATTTCAAAATTATGAAAATCAATTAAACGTTGAAAGTTAACGGCGTCAAGAGCAATTCTCATCCAATAACACAGTTGGCAAACAAAGTAAGACACATAGTATTCATGAGTACACATCAACATGTCCAGTAAGTGACTTTTGAGCGGGGAAATGTCTGTTCTGTCCCCATAAGAAACGTTCCTTGTTTCCGACGGTGAGGAACAGGGAATTATCCCTTTTAATCATTAAGAAGACATGGGTTTACTTGGACCAAAGACTTTGGAACTACAGTAGTTGCCGAAAAAAAGTCTTCAGCGTAGTGACTACTCCTAGTTAGTAATCCCTCTTTCCCTTATTTTTTGCCCTACTTTTCTTTTTAGCGGGCCTTTTATTTTTACTCCATTCTATCTTTTGACATATGAGACCACATCTTTACTATTACAATCACCCCATTAACACCACTTTTCTCCCTTATAATTGTTTTCCAACCAAATATTAACAAAGTAACATTACTGAAGCAAAAAATAAGGGGAGGAGAGAGTACTATGTAACATGTTGTGAATGAATAGTGCTTGGGTTCCTATGACCCTTTCCCTTAAGAACCCACTTTAAGGTATTTACTAATGTATCCCTCAAATGAAAGTTACTACATTGCCCTTAAATCAACCTCTGACTTCAAAGTTATTGCTACGGATTCCCTATAAATGCCAAATGGTCACATTGATGCAATATTTCAGGTATTTTTATTCTTCTGTGCCTGTTAACATTAATGTACTAAGTAGTACATTTTACGTTTTGTATAACCTTTGTAAAAAAAAAAGAAAAAAAAGTACATTTTACGTAGCTATCCAAAAGAGCTAGGTGATAAAGTACGCACCTGATTGAGAACACGCTTATGGTTGCTCCATGCCTCCACCTTGGCTATAAGCCTATAACAAGAAAACTGTACGAATTATAGATCCCCTGATGATTCCCGGCTGCCTCAGACTCCTCACATTTGGAGCATGATGCGCTGTGAAGTTCGCTATAATTTTGGAGACTTTGGACACTAATAAGCGAGGCTTTTGTGCTTCAAGCTCGCTCACCCCACTCTCATCCACCACATATATAACAATGATCTTGCAGGATCAGAATTTGACTAGACAAGTAGACAACATGTTGGGCTTACCGCAGAATAAGTCCAACTGATGAGGCTGGTAGCAACAACACTTCTAGTCATTTGGTGCAATTAGTCAATCTTGAAAACTGTCATTCCCTTGTGTACTCTCCCCTGCCTTCACCTTGAATAGATCTATCAGGACTATCCTGAAGTGATTGAAAATTGTAATGGATTTAATGTTGGTAAAATAACTGTTGAAATCAATAACAAACAAAAGATTAGAACTTTCCTGGATTGAAGATCCCAAACTCACAGTCGCGCCGTGGAACAATAATCCACTGCCTTAGAAGCGAAATACGCCACCACCGGTACAAGTTTCCTAGTGACGCACGCCCCCCAAGTTTAACACAACTCTCTCCGTAATCCGTGCACCCGAACTCGAAGAGTGGAATTGCTCAAGAACTGTTCAGATCTCAAAAGGTAGGTTTGTGTTTTCGGCTAGAAAAGTGAATGAATATCATGAAAAAGGTATGACTCGTATTTATATGAGTCCTAGAAAAAGAAACACGTAATCAAACCGACCTAGGAAAAAAGGCGGGCCCGATCGGGCGAGCTGCCGCCCGATCGGGCGCGAGATCAGGTTTTTCCAGACGTAGTGTCGCGCCCGGTCGGGCGAACACCGCCCGGTTGGGCGATCTAGAAACCCCATCCCAGGCGAGCCATCGGGCGAATCCGCCCGATCGGGCTCGTCAAAACCTTGAGTCCACCGCCCGGTCGGGCGAAGCCCGCCCGATCGGGCGCGAGAGATCTCGTAGAAAAACTCTTGTCCGTCGCCCGGTCAGGCGAAGTCGCCTGATCGGGCGCGAGAGCTTCCGTTTTTTCCTTGACCACCTTCGCCCGATCGGGCGAGAGCCGCCCGATCGGGCGCAAGTCATCCGATTGCATTACTATTTCCAACAATCCCCCACTAATGCGAGCGGATCTTCAACATGAAATCTGAACAGTAAATGAAAGTCTTAGTACTTAAATGCTAGTATCCAAAGGTTTGAACTAACACATTAGTGCACAAGGTTTTCAACACTTCCCTAGTGAGTATCCTAAGATTTGAACTCCTTGGAGCGAGGAAGGGACCTTGAATACACATACCTTGACTTTAGAGCTTAAGCAACTCCGCCAATCTTGGCCAACACTTGGGCTCTCATGAGTACTTCAGGAAAACAATACTCCAGTCTTCCCTTGAGAGAGGCCACCTCTCGTACTCACGTAGGTGTTCGTCCTATGTGTTATTCACACACGTTCCCAGCAAATTCAAAGGTCTTTCC